GGTACTTGCTGAGTACAGTCTGTCTGTCTATTCTTTCTGCATTGAGTCTCTTCTGTCCTAGGTCATAGAACTCTGTGGATGAAGGATAGGGCCTTGCTGCCAAACCTGCACGGGACTTAGTAGGACTAATCTCTACTCTGATATCTGGAGACCTGGGCATGAGCAACGATCGCTCGTTAAACAACTCGTCTAGCCCAATGACCGGTACTGTCCGGCAGGTCTGTTCAGTTTCAGTGTAGAGGGTCTGAGGGCCTGTTGGAACCACTCCCCTACCAGACCAGGTAAGGCTGATGATCTGTGTCTGACGACTCGACTGTCTCGGGGGATACGAACCCTCCCAAGGACCGGTACAGACCGGCGGGCTGCTCGGTGTGGCACAGTAGGCCGGAAAGGCTGAGTTGTGGGCTGAAAGCACAGGCAGAACCAAGCTGATCACGTCGTGCTATCTGCGACGTTAAAGAATTCTTGAGTTACGGGGGATCTCCTTAAATGCCTCCTGATCAGCCACTGGTTCAGTAGTGACAGTCATAGTGTAGGTCTAGGCTAGAGACCAGAGTTGACAGGATCCCTGTCAGGATTCTGTGAGTCTTAGATTGAGTCAGTAGGTCTGTTAGTCAGGGGTTGATGTCTACGTGGTGAGGTTTGGAACCACTAACCCGGTTGTACACTTATCACCATGGTTGAGACCCGTAGTGGGAAGGAGACTAGCCGCTACACCACTGAGCAGCAAGAAAAGATGGCCGCCTTAGTCAGAGAGAATAAGGAGAGGAAAAAGCGTGAAAAGCAAGCCAAGCTAAAGGCTATCACAGACGAGCAGGCGGCGAAGATGAAGAGATTGAAGGAGGAGATGAAGAGGGTACAACAGGAGGAGGAAGAAAGAAGGAGGGCTGCCGAAGCAAAAGCAACAGCAGAAGAAGAGAAAGAGAGGATGAGAATTGAGAGTGGGGAAGGAAGTAGTGGTGGCGCGATGAAGTGGGAGACAGATACTGAGCTGGAGAAGATGATCAGCGAGTGGGTCGCTAATTTATCGTTGGGGAAGACGAGGAGGCGGAGTCCTATGTGACTAAGGATGAGAAGGCTGCGCTGGCCGCTGAGCTAGCAGCCATGACAGACCCAATGGAACGAAGAGAGAGGGAAGACGAGCAAAAGTTAGCATGAAAGTTGAGAATGAAGAGGGAGAAGAAGAGGAGGAGAGAGGAAGTGAATAAGATGACCGCCGCAGTGGCAAAGGTGCAGGAGTGTAGAGCGGAGGTGCTGGCCCAGCCAGATGATAAGACCAAGTGGGACAAAGTACTGGTCTATCTAGAGGTGTTGAGCAAAGCCTGGATGGAGGAGCGTCAGGCAAGCTGGAGCCAGGATGTAGCATTGGGCGCCATGCGGTCCGGGTTCAGGGATTTTGCCCGCGAAATCGTCACCCATATTGGGGGCGAAGTCAAGCAATTGAGAGACAACGTAGAGAAGTTTTGTGAGGGCGCCATTCAAGGTGCCAAAGCTGCAGCCGCTGTAGAAGGAGAGGGCAGACCCCGTAAGGACCCAGTGAAACTTAAGTTCCCATACGCGTACGGGGGAAAGAAGGACGAGAACTTTGACAACTGGGAGGCCAGTATCAATGGTTACATTTACTTACAACATATTCTGATAGAGGAGCAAGTCCTCGTGGCCTTCCAGGCCCTGAAGGACGAAGCGGCTAGCTTCGCCAGGTCTCTCACGCGTACAGCCGGTTGTGAAAACAACCTGGTTGCATATTCCAAAGTCACTCCTCTTTCCCAATTCCTCAAGCTCCTCAAGGAGCGGTTCACTGACCCAAAGCGAGGCATTAAAGCCTCTGATAAGCTCCAAACGATCCACTCCCGGCAGTGGAGGAGTGCTAAGGCACTCAAGGGTACTATGGACGACTTGGTAGCCGTCCCGGACTACGGGGTCACTGAGCCCCAACTGGTCCAGTTGTTTTATCATGCCATTCCAGAGGCCCTACGCGGGCATTTCTTTGACAAATCTCAGCAGGCCGGCATGACTTACGATGTATTGAGTAGAGAAGTCGTCCTGTATGAGTCGAAGTCTATGTCAGTTACCACTTTCTGGCATAAGGACCTGGAGAAGGGGAAGAAGTGGAAAGATCGTACCATCTCGGGCCAAGTCAAGGCCAAAGATCACTTGATCCTGACATTAGAGGAGGGTGGTACAGAAGAGGTCCCATATGATCAGATTGAGTGGGGCCTAGGGGAGGAGCAAAGTTGTGTAGGGCAGGGGAGGTCTTACGCTGCTGTCGCGGCCGGAGGGAGGCCGCAAGGTAGAGGAGGAGGCCAGGGCCAAAGGGGCCAGGCCATGGGAGGCCGAGGACCGGGTGCACAGGGGGTTGGCGGACAGGGAAACCGCCAAGCGGGAGGTAGGGGTCAAGGTCCCCCGTTAAATCGCCAGGGTAACCGGTCCCCATAACGAGGAGGTGGA